ATTGTGTGTGTTATAAAGATTATTCAATAGCAGATAACATATGGGTTTTTTGGGTTGAAATAAGAGTCAACTGACTCATTACAAGGTTTTAAACATGAACATGTTTGAGAATCCTTATTTAGGGGCTCAGGGAGCTGTGATTGTGAGCGTACCTCAGAGAAGGTCATGTTGCAGATTCGTACGATTGCCTCCTCCATTCGGCTGGGGGATGTGATGGAGATGTCGGTGAGTTGGTTCATTTGGCTAAGTGTGTAGAAGAAGGCAGAGAATGCCTGTGGAGAGGATGGGGCACTGAATCAATACAGAGTCACACACTCTTCCCGAGCAAGGAAAGATTAGTTTTCATAAAAAAATAAAAGATTAAATGAGGACAGTAACATGGGGTGGAACTTTTAAAAGTTTCTTGTTAAATTATCTTGAGCTTCACAAGTTCCGGTTTGAGAATGAAAAGAAAAAATGTCAAGAAGGACATAAAACTGGCAAAAATGTAAATGGAAAGGTTCTCAGTGCTGTACGATGTTACCACTCTATCACGATGTATATGACGTTCTTCAGCAAGCCGTGAATTAAAGCTGTAGGTGAAAGTGTCACTATATTCACACAGCACTTAATAAGACAAATAAAATGTGAAAATAAAAGTTATATTTCTCTGCCTACTCTATTGTGTTGTAGGGCCTCTAATGGCCTTACTGTATATGAATGAAAACAATATGAGTCAAGGAGTCTCTAATTTAGCTGTCAATCATGTGAATCACTGCTCATGAACTGCGGTCAAACTATCAAATCAGTCAGCGCTGATCAAATACAGATCAAGATTTTGTTACTGCATTGCCTTTTTCTCCCCTCAAATGTTGTCAGAAAGATATCTTAGTGTACTGTACTGTACTGACTGGGACACTAACTTTCTCATTTTACAGCTAAACAGTACACTAAAATGTCTTTCTGAAAGCAGTTGAAAACATCTGCAGTAACAGAGTCTTGATTCATATTTGATCAGCGCTGCCTAGTTTGACCACAGTTCATGAGCAGTAATTGACATGCTGGACAGCTGCGTTGGATACTCCTTGGCTCTGATTAGTTGTTTTCGGTGTGTAGATTCTAGCAAATGCCATTAGAGGCAATACAAAGAGAAAGAGGGACATGTTTCTTTCACAGATCATTTGTCTTGTGTATTCTTAGAGAATACAGTGACAGTTTCAGCAAATATGACACAAAGATAATTTCCTTAAAGTTACCAGCTGTATCTCTAACAACTGGCCTGCTACACACTGCGCTGTGGAGAATTAGCAAACATTGCAACTTTAACAACATATAGACCAGCAAAACAGTTCGCAATTAAAATGTTTGGTCTATGAGTTAAAACTATTCTGCACTCTTTTGAAATTTGCCCCTTCGTCTATACGTTGTTGCCGTCTCAGTCTAAAAGCTCCCTCACCATGAATCTTCCTCTCAGGGTGGGCTGAAAGACTCCATCAAAGGAGCACTTGGAGTAAGAACAGTTGTCGAAGGAGAACAACAATTTTACGTTGTCCCGGCAGCTCTGATAATCTCCTGTGCCCACCACTGATACAGACATCTGGGGGTCGAACTGGGCTGGTCTGTAGCGCTTAGTGCACGGAGAATCAAAGACATCCTCTCCCAGCTTGATGTATGTGTTGTACTGTCGTGGATAGCAGGGATGTAACACCACAGGTTTCACACCTTGAGTCTGTACAAGGCAATAAAGACAAAAGTGAAACATTCTCCTGGTAAATATGAAAGGAAAATGCAGCATATGACAAGTTTAATTCTAAATAAAGTGGTAGAATAGGTAAACATTCTCAATTTACTAGCAATTTATATTGACAGGTAGTATTTATACTCCCTATGTGCAATCATACATTATGTATTTCACTGAAGAGCACTTACTTACATTGCTAGTTTTGTCTACAACTTTTTGAGAATTACAAAAAATAGGCTTACCTTTGGATTGACAACCAACGAATTCCAAATACTTAATACTTCCTTTATTTATACAGCATCAGGTTGGTGTGATATTTTTCACATTTTGGGAAATTTTAGATATTTTGCAGGGAGTTAGATCAGAAGATTGAATCCTCCAGCATCTGGTTAGCTTAGTTTGGCACAAAGACTGGAAACATGGGGAAACAGCTAATCTGGCTCTGTCCCATGGCAGTAAAATCTATGTACCAGCACCTCTAAAGCTCACTTATTGACATGGTATATGATGTCTACCAAATCTGTAAAAAAAAAAAAACCCTGAAGGTTTAGAATAACAATTTGTGGTATGCGACTGTTTCTTGGCCTTGAGCAATGACTTCCTAGCATCTTATCACTGTGTGATTACCAGGCAACCAGTGGAAACTCCAGAAAGGTTCAGATGTTGGTAGATACATTTTGACCCCTTCAGCCAGGCTAGTTGTTCCCCCATTTCCAGTCTTTATGCTAAGCTAAGCTAAAGGGCTACTGGCTCCAGCTTCACATTCAGAGGAAATTAGAATTGCTAACTCTCTGACAATTTGGGAAATAGCTAGTTGTTTTCATGCAAAGTATTCCTCTGAGCAAGCTTAGTGCAGCAGCTTGTTGTAGTAAATATACAGTTCACCCAAGGCACTCTGGTGCAGATATCCTTGTTAGCAAGTGTACTACACTACTGGCTTTGACGAGAGCACAGAGGGGAAACTAGCTAGCTGTTACTAGCATCCCCAGCAGAAACAGTTGGCTGCGAAAATATGGCGAACACTTAAACTTTGGTTTTTGTAGGTGTCAAAACAACATTGCCAAGCTTCTGTGGCATACTCCTACTTGCTTCTCCAAAGTGGGGGCATGCTGACCGACATCTACTGTAGGTAATACACTGACTAGGGATAAGTACCTCATACAGTCCCACCTCAAAAGATCAGAACCATCACTTTAAGGCAGAAATCATGAAAATGTTGATGTTTCTCAACAACAGCCATATGTAACAGACTTTACACTTAATGGTACCGTGATAAGATGAGCCAGCAGCCTCTGCAGGATCTGCACTTGGCCGTAGCACAGGAATCTCTGGGTGTATAGTCTGTAGGTTCGTCCATAAAGCTTCAGCTCCATCACATTGTCTTTGTCCTCCACCTCTTCCGAGGTCTCAAAAGTGATCTGTGTGGAAGCTCCGCCTAAATCCAAAGCTCCAGTTGTCTCTCTGCCTGGATTCAGCCAACGCCCGACAAAACCATACTGAATGACAAGAAAGGACATGTCAAGATGTAACAATTTCAATTGATGTAGTACAATAGAAATTTCCAAAACTGGACAGAGTTTAGAAAAAATTCAGTCAAAAACACTTTTCCAAAGCCCCTGTGTGTGGAATTTTTCAGCCATGCAACCAACGTGAATTGAATGCACTATATAATTAATAATAATAATTGCCATGAAAGCACATTAGGATGAATTTTTGCCTGTGTGACTTCCTGTGTGTTGAACTGAAAAGTCAGAGCTCACCTTGACAAAGTTCTCAAGTAAGTAGTTGACTGTGGCCCAACCGTAAGCCCCCTCCTCCTTTCCATTCAGCACGCTCGCCTCTTTGAAGTCGAAAGGGTAAGACCGCAGCTTGTTTTCCACTTCCTTCAGCACCCGCTGAGACTCTGTTGCATTGACTTCGCTATTAAAGAGAGGTGAGAGTTAAATGGAGAATTAAACAATATTAAATCCTTCCATGATCCATGCCATGTACTGTCTAAACAGGAAGTTCGACTGACTTCAGGAGTCTCATGCCTGCAGTAGCTCCCAGATAGAGTGGAGTTTGATGGTGCCTGGATTTGGGGATATCCTTCACAGCTTGTTCCAGACAGGCCTCCAGACTTCGTGCTGCATCACCAGGAGCACCTGCATAACTGGATATCCCTCCACCTTGACAGAAAGAGAAATTAGTTCTGCTTTTTAAGAACTCCTGACCTTCTCGAAAACTCAAAAAGCTTGATGGAAGAAATCTCACAAGCAACAACTGGCAGTTACTAAGATGGCAGACGTCATTGGATAAGTTGTTTTAGGATGACAATGTATAAGTTAAAGCCAGAACTTTACCACCACGACAGTCTGGGTTAAAGCATCAGCTCAAGCAAATTACACTTACCTTGGTTTGTATCTAGCTACCCAGATGGTTTTGGTTTAACTTGACCAGGGTTTAAAGGTAATTTAAGGTAATTGGGGTGAATGGAATTTTTTTTTAAATTTTCATTTACAAGTGTCATTTTTTAAGCTGTGAGCCCTGCAAGTTGACCTGCACTGTATTGTGATGAATTTTAGATCTGAGAGATTAATTGATGGATCTCAATACCAGGTACAATTAAACCAAAATTATCTGCATGGCTAGAATCCACGAGAAGTAAATGAAAATATGCATATAACAACTGTTACGGTAATAAAGGGTTAGCCTGAGATCTACCATAAAAACATGACCTCTCAGGCAGTACTTCCTTCCAGGCCGCTAGCTGACCACAACTAGCTGTACCAATCAAATACTGACTTGACTACCTGCATCTTGTTGTCACTATCAGCCTTTAAAGCTCATACCAGGCAAACACTATTCTAAAGCAGTGATGCAGCATCGATTAAGCCAGCCTTCTCTCACCCACTGGGAGGAGCTCACCTTCTCCATGACACTTGCTGTGCTGGGTAACAATACCAGTGCCATTTTGCTTGTCGGCCGGCCATTTGTAGATGTACATGGAGGTGTGGGATGAACCGGCGTCCAGAACAATTCCATACTGAAACACAGAGCATTAAAGTCAGAAACAAACAATAGGGAAGCAGAACATACAGCAAACCTCCATTACCTTTAGCTATTATCAATGCTGCTCAGAATGTACATCGATGGAGTTACCCCAGTATGTTGCTTTGCTGATGTATCACATAGACTTGATATGACATCTTGAGTACCTCAGTGCACCTCTCATAACACAGTATCACAGACTACACCTGTGAAAAAACACTACCTAGCTGGTACCAGACATCAACATGACGTCAAAAGGACCTTACACTCTTACACTGGACAGACGTTACATTTTAGTTGGAATGAAAATCGCGCTGAAGATATTTTAAATGTTCAAAAATGTTGTGTGGACGTTTTCCTGACGTTGGGTTTTGTTCTCCATACCTTGCATCTATATTTTGTTATCTAATTCTAGAGATGTTGGCATGAGACGTTTTCCTGACATTGAACTTTGGTCACCCAACGTTATGACCTAAACTCAACCAAATGTGGATGTCTAATAATGTTGGTGACCTGCTGGGTAGTGTGAAGTTCTGTTTTCCATAGGTGGAAAAAGTACTGAAAATTTGTACTCAAGTACAAGTACTGTTACATTGCTTAAATTGTACTCAATTACAAGTAAAAGTACTGGTGTTTAAAAAATACTTAAGTAAAAGTACAAAGTAGTCTTCTCATAAACTACTCAGAGTATTAATTACTTTTAACCGATGGATGTTTTATTGTGTCATCAGTAGCAGGCATTTGATTCGATTCACCTGTATAAAATATCAAAAACAGCTCACCTTATACAGTGAAATTACTGCAATGATATGCCTACTATGAGGCAAGAGTGTAAACACATGGCACACACATGAATACAAGGGGCTCACTGACTCCACAAGAGTCACACCTTTCCAGTCAGCCCCAAATTATCCAACTGTAATACTGTTTAAGGACCCCAATATGCAGGAATAATAAAATAGAATAGGCGAAATTACATTAATACCTCACGCAAAATAACTGCGTGGGTTTTGCACAAAACTGCAAGGGATTAGAGTGAAGTGGATGTGTCTGTAAAGGGGTAACGCTTATCATACGAAAACATTTTCATTCAGGTATTTTGAAGTAAGAGAACAAGGGACCCTTTGCTCGTGCCCTGTTTTCCATGCTAAACGTTAGCCTAAATTTGGAGCACTATTTACCCCCCTTACCGATAAGCTAACATGACATGGTTAATTTTTATGGTTAATGTTTCATTTAACATAGTGTCACTCTATCACAAAATATAGGCCTGCTGAATGTCTGCCTGTGAGTATTAAATGACTACAGATTTAATTTATTGTAATGACATTGGTTAAAACATTTCTAAGAACTGTAGCTCAATTATGCATGCACGCACGCGCACATGTTAGCTATCTCCATCTTATTTTAATATCAGGCAAACCAATGGCAGTGACAATATCTTTGCAGACTTATCTTAGCCAAACTAATAACCAGTGCTTAATTTGTAAAATTAGAAGTAGGGGACCACTTTGGGTCTCTGAGAGAGCAGTGTTCCCCCTCTCCCAAAAGTGGGGGAACACTTTTTTAAGCGGCACCCGAGCCGCCTCACTGCGCGACCCCGAATGGAATGGTCGTGACATCTAGTGTTGTCACGGTCCCAAAATTGGATCCCACTGTACGATACCAGTGAAAGTATCACTGTTCTGAGTAGTATCACGATACCACAGCGAAAATGAGGCAGATGTGCCTTTTGTCATTTATAAAAAGATAAATCACTTTTCTATAATACGTCAATGATATTTCAGTGGAATAAATTACATACTGACTTATTCATAGTTCAAAAACAGCATCAATAAGTGATTAACATAGGGGGGATCAAAATTAAATAAATAAAAAAAATATAAAAATCAACCAGCCACCCTCCTCCCCTGACAAGTAAAGAACAGTCCCTTCATAAGTAAAGAACAGTCCCTAAAGTGCGGTGAAGTTTGTGGACCGTTACCTGCCACAAAGACAGAAATGTGAACGGCTCGTTTCTCTTCTGACACGCCACATACCTGTGTGCCTCGGTTGTCCAGGTACTACTGGGCAGTCATGACGCCAGCTGGAGTCTGACTCGCCAGTAAGCCGTTATGTTGCTGCACGGAGCTCACGGGATTTGCGTGGAGCGCATGGACACTCACCCTTGGCTTCTTTGTCTCCAAATCTTCAGTCCATAAATTAGTCTCTACTCCGCTGTGTAGGTATGTTACCGCCAGACACCTTTGCCTGCTGCAGTGGAGTTGTCCTTTCCTTACATCATAGATTAATTGGCGCGGTTGCGATCGGACAGCCTTATTGGCTACAAAGATGCAGATGAAAGGTTTGAATATTAATTCAAATTGTGGTTGTACTCAGTAGCGACTTTTGATTTTAAAAGTAGTTAAGTAGATTACATGGTGTAAATTGTACTCAAGTAGGAGTAAAATTACACACTTGAAAAAAATCATAAAAGTACAAGTACCCAAAAAATCTACTTAATTACAGTAACGTGAGTATTTGTAATTCGTTACTTCCACCCCTGCTGTTTTCTGTGTGGATTTTATCTACAGAGATATTTGTATTAGCAGTTATAAACACTTTGTGTTGTGCAACTTGTACAGCTTTTCAGGTTTGTTATGTTAAGTTTGCACTTAAATGTGTAGCTACCATGTAGCTAAGGATGTAGCTACGGCATAGACGTCTGGTAACCTGTCTTTTTTGTTTTGTTTTGTGGTGACAATCTTGCAACTTCTGCAGTTTTATTAAGATGATGGCCTTTTATGGTTGAACTCATTCTTTTTGCATACAAATTTACTTTCATGTGACTAAAGCACTATTCAGACGGGATTAGTTTTACATGGGCACGTGGGGTAATGTCACTTTACCACAGGACGTTGGTAATGGCCAATTTCCACGTGATAAGAAATATCAGTAAAACTACCACAAGTGGGAGGGGTAAATCCATTCACGCACAGCCGTCCCCTCCTGTCGTCATGTGCGTATTAGGGCTGTCAAAAGCACCATGTAATTGAGTTAGAATATTTTCGAATTAATTTAGTATAGTTCGAATAATATTCAAATTTATTTATTTATTTATTTTTTACAAAAAAACCCGCAAAAAATAAAATGCTTATTGCTGACGCAATATGAACGTGACACTCAGATGAAAATACCCGTTTTGACCTCACTATAGTGCCAGGTATGATCAACTTCTGCCTCGCTATCTGAGCCATGTCTGGATACTTCAGTGCGTAGTTTTCCACCACAACAGTGGATCCTGGTCGGCTCGTAGTGGTGTCTCATTCTGGTAACGTTTCATCTCTTCTTCAAAAAGGGTAGGCAGTGCAGGGAGGCAGCAGGTGCAATGCTCTCCCTGTATGTCTCCCCGAACAGGTCACACATCGCAGACAGCACAGTGGGTGGTGTTGGCGCAGCGGGCTCCTCCGTCTGTGCCTCTCCCTCCGTCGCTGCGTCCTAGCCCGGCTTGTGCGCGAGCCATCTCCGCCCGAACGGGATTCGCCGTGATATACAACATTATTAATAGTATTAATTAATTATTAATGATATTTGAATTATCAAATTTAGGTTCGAACTTATAAAAAATATATAGGCTAGGGTTAATTCAGGGTGAGTGGGACATCAGGTTGGGTGGGACAGTATAAGTAAATTGGCTGTATTTTCTCCCCTGGTCACTGAAAATAAAAACTTTTTTTTGCTGAGCCTTGCTGTGAAACCATATTATCAGAGGTGCTTACACTCATTGGTGTGATGTCACATGTGGGGGCGGGGCCAACATCAATCAGGAAGTTGACCCTGCATAACCCAAGATGAGGAAAATGGCAGATTGGAATGGAAGATTTTGATTGTTATGATCATAAGGTTATAAAAATGTTTTCGCCAAGATATTGCAGAAATATTTGCTGGAAACATGAATTTGATGCACTTCTACAATAAAATCAGAAAAAAATGTTAAGATTATGTTTACATTTATGGAATTAGGCTATTTTTATAACACAGTTTGGGTGGGTGGGACAGCATGGTTTTGGGTGAGTGGGACAGCACCAAAAGGCACTCTTAATGAATAAAAATGATCAATCCTGCCATAGGGAATCATTATTTATGTTCCAGATTAATAGTTCCTAAACTTCTTGTGTGTGCACACCCAAAATTTACCACACAATTGTTGATGGAGCACCTCAGTTTTACTGCTAGCCTGACTACCTAGCTAGCAAAACAGCTAGCATAAACAGCAAGTGTACCCAGCCTACTAGGGATGCATGATAACAGATTATTTCCCAGGATCTAATTTGCAAATTGTCCCCAACTCTTCAAGCCTATTGTTGATGATAGGATATATAGAGGAACACACACACACACACACACACACACACACACACACACACACCAGCCAATACAAACTGCACACACACACACACACACACACACACACACCAGCCAATACAAACTGCACACATGTACACACAAACACACAGACACACACTCACACACTCACACACACACACACACACACACACACACATATACACACACCCCTGCCAATACAATGCAACATAGTTATCAGATAATATGTGTACTAGATGCAGACAGTAGGGAACATTTGTTCATCAAGTGTCAACCTATACAAAGTTTAGACTTGATTTCTTTCCAAACTAATCATGATTAATCCACTGCAGAAAGAATGGCACCAGAGAGGCAGAGAGAGAATGAGAAGGCAAGAAGAAAAGTACAGGGAGAAAACAAAAAGTTAAACAAATGTGTTGTCCCACTCACCCAAATCTCACACACAAAAACGAATTTTAGTCAGTTCACAAAAAAAGGTATGCCATGCATCCATGGAACATAATCAGATCTTCTTTCCTCCTCAAATGGATAGGTAACATCTTCAGCATTACAGAAATGTATCATATGTTGGGTTATTTTTTGAAATCCATAGCCAGAAATCTCACACAATGCAGAAAACCGAAAACTGTCCCACTCACCCTGAACTTACCCTAGGCTATATTCGAATATATTTAGAACTTAGATTTTTTTTTTTTGACAGCCCTAACACACATATTTACTGCTGGTCTATTCGCACGGGATTAGTATTACCTGAGGTAATTGTCCGGGACCCTCTTACAGAAGGTAAAAGTCGCGGTAATCTTTACTGACATCGTGCGGTAGTTATCACTGACATGGCACATTCGGACGGGACTAAAATCTATGGTAATTATTACTTTACCCCACGTACCTAAAACTAATCCCGTCCGAATAGTGCTTAAGACGTAGTATACCATATAACAATAACATAGGGTACTTTATTGTGTAATTCTGTAGACAAAGAGCAAAGGCAGTATATGGCAGTTTCATGTGTCTGTGACATTAACATAAGAAATCCACCCTAATGTGCTTTCATGGCAAACCCTCAAACCGCTTCTTCAATCTCACACCCTTTGTTTCTTTCCGTCTTGTGGTTCTTTGCATCAGTTCCTTCTGCTAAACACTGTTGCTGACACTGGCATCGAACCTACTGCATGTCAGAGCAGGAAAAGAGTTAAAAGCTGTATGTTCCTTATTTGAGCATTGAGCTGATACACACAGACTTATAGCTGAGTTTAGACCACAGAAATGTTTTCTTTGGACGCTCCTCTTGACTTGACTGTAAAAAGTGCCCTTTTAACCATCAATACCAATATACATTTTATTATCTCAAGGGAAGTTCTAATGTGCAGAGCTACATGTATACATTAGTGAAACACTGATACAGTGGGACAGCACCTGTGTCCTCGGCATTTGGCAGAACACATCTTTATGACCCATGGTGCGAGTAAGTGATGTATAAAGCAAAGGAAAGCTGGAATAGAATCTAAAAAAATTAAAGACCCTCCAGAAAGTCAGACTGCCCTACCTTCAGCCTAGAAAAAGGGCAAATTCTTCTCATTACCATGTTCTCAGGTGGTGTCTCCATCTCTTTAGCTGGAATGACCACCAGCAGAATCCCGACTAGTGCGAGTATCAGCAGCACAACCGCATAGATGATTTGGCAGTGCCTGTGGAGACTCATACTGGAGACTGTGTGCTCAGATACTTCTTGCAGCTCTGCGTGAAACCTTGTGAGCACTTAACGCTCAGTAAGGAAACCCACATAAACAATGGGCGTGCGTTGAAGAATTGTCTGTGGGTTTGGTCTGAGCTTTTGATAATAAGATTGCCCCTGTAGGGCCTTACGAACATACACACACACGCTATACAAGTTTTTTGGACATGTTGATGATAAAAGTTGTCTTCCTGGCTGTGGATAGCTGGACACTGCAGTGACGGGGGTGTGGATGATGCCAGATGTGCAGCCTCTGTCAAAGCTGGAGGGCTTTCAACAAGTACAGCACCTGCCTGGGACCAAGGCCAGATGAGCCAAACCTTGTTTTTTTAGTTACACCACAAATTTCCTAGTAATCACAATATCCTTGGGTGACATGGATACAATAGAGCATCACATGAAGTCAGTTCAATGAGTCAGGATACGAGGGTGGGAAAAACTGGCTCTCTTAACTGATGGAAGGGATAGAGAACAAAGAATAAGAGACACAGGAGATGCAATAAATGAGTCAGCAAAGGTAAAGAATGAGAATTTTCTTGATGCATGGTTTCCTTTGGACAACAAATACAAACATCCTTTTCATCCAGTACTAATTTTAATATCTGAATATCTGTTTTTACTTTTGTGTGTGTAGCTACGCAGTAATTATGATATATAGGGGTAACATGCCCTCCATTGTGTTGGTCGTGATTATCAGCTGACTGCTAAAACAAGAACCAGACTAAAGAATTCAGTCATAATAACAATTGCAGATATACAATGTAAAAGAGGAAACTATGGTGCAAACAAGAGACCAGATGAATGCGTTTTGATCAGATTTCACAGGCTTATCTCCACTGCTTTCTGTCCCCGTCACTCAGACTACAGGATGTGGTGGGGCAGATATAAGGGGCCTAACTGAATGTTGCAGAATCTGGCAGCATGTAAGTAGATCATCCGACCTGACTCTGCCCAGCCTTGCCTTTCAATGCACTTACTTAATACAGTATCTCAGATATATCACCAGAACATTTGTTGTTTCTTGCTTTGTTGAACACAATCCAAAGTTCAAGCAAGTCCCACAGTTACACTGAGCACTGAATAAATCAAAAAATGATGGGGATTACTGTTGGCAGGTCAGGGCCTGACAGATTAAACGCAAAAAAAACCCTGTTTTGTTCATGAATTCAAGGTAACACGGCCTGACTAACTGATACAGTGTTGGGCAGTAGCCTTACTAACTTAAGTACATTTTTTCAGTAGTGTAGTGATAATGTCACAACGTCAGAAATACACACAACAAGGGCTGAGAAAAGAGCTGAGAGACAGAGAACAGTATTAAGTAGGAAGACAGGAGAAACAATGACATACTGATGCCACGTGTTATTTGCAGTACATGTTCATGTTCTAATGTCCCAACAAAAGAAGTTTTTGAACATTTTTTTGCCTACCTATTTGTTTGTCTGCCATTTTTTTCTCACCACTATTGGACATACAGTCAGAAAAGTAGCTTTGCAAGTAGCAACCTACTTTTGCCATTCTACGGTAGCTTGGCTTGCTACATTTATCTGGGGATACTTTAGTGTGTAGTCAAACTTCTTTTGGATGTAGATTAACTGGTAGCTTAGCTCACTACATTTTCCAAGTAGCTTGCCCAACACTGCTGATATACAAATGATCATTTTATGGTTGAAGTATCCCAGTAATCTGTGGTGGTACTTGGTTGTGTCGGGTGCACTAATACATTGATCCATCTGTGTCGCTGTCATCCCTGGCTGTAAGCCTGTAAAACACTCAAAGCAGTGTCGGATGTTGATATATAACGTCCCACTGGTGCTCAGTTGGATTTAGGTCAGGGCAACGAGAGGGCCAGTCGATGGCATCAATGCCTTCATCATCTAGGAACTGCCTACACACTCTGGTCACATAGCCTGGGCATTGTCCTGCACCAGGAGGAACCCAGGGCCCACTGTACCAGTGTACGGTCTAACAGCAGTCAGGTACCGTTGGCTATGACATTTAGGTTTGTGCGACCCTCCAAGGATATGCCTCCCCAGACCATAGCCAAACCGGTCATGCTGGATGATGTTACAGGCAACATAATGTTCACCACGGCATCTCCACACTCTTCCATGCCTCTCACCTGTGAAGAGAGCGGGGCAACAATAGCGGACCTGTTTCTGTTTCTGACAGTTTGGTCAGAAACATGCACACCAGGAGCCTGCTAGAGGTCATTTTGTAGGGTTCTGGCAGTGCTCCTCCTGTTCCTCCTCACACAAAGGAGCAGATACCGGTCCTGCTGCCGGGTTGATCCCCTACTACGGCCCTGTCCAGCTCTCCTCGTGTAACAGCCGGTCTCCTGGTATCTCCTCCATGCTCTTGAGACTGTGCTGGGAGACACAGCATGTATGGATGTGCCATTTTGGAGGAGCTGGACTTCCTGTGCAACCTGATTGGTCTGCAGGTACCGCATCATGCTACCAGTAGTGACAAGGACACCAGCAGAACACAAAACTAGAGAAGAATCAGTCAGGAAGGATGAGGAGAGAGCAACTGTCTGTGGCCACCACATGTAAAATTATTCCCTTTCTGTCTTGCTTTTGCCTCTCCATTGGACCTGTTGTCACTTTGATTTGCACCAAAGCAGCTGAAACTTGTTCATAATCACTTGTGCTTCCTAAATGAACAGATTGATATCCCTGAAGCTTATCTGACTTGGTGTTATACTGTGACAAATGAGGGTTCCCTTATTTTTTTGGGCTCTGTATGCCCCTATTGAGTTTGAAACCTACTGACATTGTGGCTCAGAGGTGTTACTCCTCTTTCTCCAGCAGAGGGCCTGCTGTGTTTACAGTCATCACCGGGCCGTGATGAGCTGTGACCGGCTGTGATGCAGTGAGGGGAGGAGGAGAAGGTGGAGGAGGGGGCGCCTCTTTTCCTGTTCATCCCCAGCAGTATCTGGAGCCGGTGGGCGGTGCAGACCCCTGAAGACACCGTCAGCCTGCGGATGCTGACCAAAGGATGCGATTGGTCGGGGGGCAGCTATTTTAGAGCGGTATCACATTTTGTATTTGTGCAGGGAGAGGAGCCGCTACAGTGCGTCAGATAAGGTGGGAGGACAACTGTAAGAGACAAACAGGTCTTCTTTGTCTTCAAAAGAGAGACAACAATAGTCTGTTTTCTTCTCCGGGAAATAAGGATTTGCTCTCTGCTGTTTTAGTTTGAGGTCCTTTTGGCCTCTTCAAGGACACTTGTGCAGACAGATTGTGTTAGGGCACTGAGTCATCTTTGGGTCGGTGGGATAAAGAGACAAAGCAGCAGCTGTTGGATATGCGCAGACACACTGTGACCTGCTCAAGATCTGCTTATATGAGTGTTGTACGGGCTTACTGCCAGGGATGACATCGGCACAGAGAGGTGATGCAATTCTGTGAAAGCTGTCACTTTAGATTTACTAGTGTGATTTACAGCTGAGGCCTTGCCTGACGCATCTTTGGGAGGCATCAGCCTGGAGACCACTGATAGAGGAATAAGAGGCCTTTGTAAACAAACACATCTCAGCATCCACTGTGCCTCCGCCGGTAGATGCTCTTGTCTCTGACGCTCTTCCTGTTGAGGCTTTATCGACATTTCTCCACCATGTTCAGCTCAGACAGACTCACAGTCCCGGAGTATGTCAGCCGGCTGCAGAGAGGAAGGGGCGGCTCCGGCTCCGATCCCAAAGCGGTCTCTCCGGGGATCAACGCCGACGTCCAGGCGGTCCTGGACAGCGCGCTCCCCGCCCTGCGCTCCGCCATCAGGAGGCTCAAATCAGCCAAGGAAACCTCCGATTCAGATGACACCCGCAGGGCCATCGCTGAGCTCTACCAGCTGGTGGAGGAGGCCTGGGTTTTGCCCACCGTAGGCCGTCAGGTGGCCGAGGAGATCTGTAACAGGATCCGGCTGGATGGAGGCCTGGAGCTGCTGTTACAGCTGCAACAGACACCTGCTGTGGAGATCACCTATGAGTCTGCAAAACTGCTGGAGCAGATACTCATATCAGAGAACAGGTACAGTGTGTATGGACAAACACCTTGACAGTATGATGCAGTGTAATACAGCAGCTGTACCATAAACAAACAAGTTACCCCTTAATGCTCAGCTTCTGTTAAGATTATTATCCTCATGTGGTTTTTGAGGCCTTTATTTATTTATGAATTTTGTACAGGAGTAGACAAAACAACACAAGCAACTACCATGCTATACAATGAAATAAACAAGTAGGTATTTCTACCATATGATCTATTCAGGACAAAACAACAGAAACAACTCACCAACATAATAAGCTTATGTTTTATGTTTAGAAAGGGACAGAGCACAATAATAAACATGAAGTCACTGAAGTCACATAAATGTGCCAGATTTAGCCATACAGGCTAATTTTCATCTGCAGTCCCTGGCAGGTTGATGGTCTATGTGTATATAGGAAAAAGACAAAACCACACAGAAACACATAGGCCTAGGCGCAGATAAAAACAGATTGATTGCATGTCCACAGAAGGGCACATGAGCACAGGGCAAGCATATAACCATAGACAAAAGCACATAAGTAGGGACAACAGCACACAAGCACAATCATCAAGACAGTTACATAACCATAAAACCAAAGCACATAATGTAAACACAACGTACTATACATAAGCACATAAGCCCTAACATACAGTAATGAAACGAGGACATTACCACTAATTCAGATTATGACAACATGTTTGATTGTCCAGAGAAATGTGACGTTCCTGAGCTCTGTGGGTGCAGTGTTCCAGTTGTGTGCAGCTTGACTGGAAAACGCTGACTTTCTCTGTGGTATTTAACCAAGATAAAACTGAGGTTCTTGTTATTGGAGCAAAAACTGAAAGAGAAAAGCTATCTGACCATCTAAAATCATTTGTATTAAAACCCAAAGAACATGTAAAAAACCTTGGTATTATAATTGATCTGGATCTTAACTTTGACCACCACATTAAAAACGTAATTAAAGTGT